TAATATGTTTCAGAGCATTCTAAGTCGCCTGTGTTTACTTCCAATCAGAATTTGTTATTTGCAGATTATGTTTATAATAATTTCAAACATTGTACTGAGCTAGTATTAAGGTGATACTGTATTAAAAAATAAAATAGGCACCGTCCCGTTTAGAAAAACTCCCTGGGCAATTGAAGGTAACCGGTTTCCTTCATTGAGCCGATAGCACTTATTTTTCTCGTAATATTTACTTAACATTTCGTAAATGTAACGTCTATTTCAAGATATGTGTAGTACGAAAAACAACATTTACATGAACAAAATGTAAAATTATGAAATCTGACGATTTTTAGGAACGTTTTGTTTAAGTGGCCCATCGATAGCAGCCTTACCCTAAAGCTAAACTAAACTGAAATAGGCCCATAGGTAATTTTTGCAACACCAGATATCTATGTTTATTGTAGGCATACTGTAGGTTTATTTTTCCTACCATCAGACATATATGAATTTTTTGTTCTAAAGCCTCTTTGTCTCTTTTGTATATCCATTATACATCTTTTGCATATCGTTGATCTGTCTTGCGACGATGGTATAAAAACTAAATTCCAGCCATCTTTTATCAAGACTTCATTTTTAGATCTCTATAAAAATGAATACCCATCACTGAGTGAAAAAACAATGAAAATTTTAATTCAGGTTTCAAGAACATATTTGCGCGAAATAGACATTTTTATCTCTAACAGCAATTAGAACTCGGTACCGGTCTCGGATTGAAATAAACGCGGTGACGTCATTGGAACCAAAAGTCCACAAACCGATTTCAAACAAACAGGAACAAATATCACGCTAAAAATGTGCAATACTTAAATAAACTTAAAATTTTCCTTTTTAAAAATAATTGCTTTATAACTTGGTTACGTTTAATGGGTGCATTTCATAAAGCAAAAGTTTTCTGTTTATTATCGTATAAATGTATTTATCTTTTTTTTTTCTTTCTAAATTTATCTTAGTGATCTGCCAAATATAAAATTATACATTTAATGGTCTATGAAGTTCTAAGGGTTGGCGACTCCCATTTAAACAACTAGAAGGCACGAAGGTGTATTTTACTCTTTCTTCACCCCAGGTGGCTAAATTATTGCGGGTAAAAGAATTTATCACTCATGTGACTATTATTTTCCCAGGTATAATGTCAGTGTCCCGCTCAAGGTATTCCCCTTTCTTAGGTAAAATAAATCCAAAATCGCTTGTATTCAACTACAGTAGATTGTTTTACTGAAAACTTTTGTTTGTATTTATAATTTCTGTTAGTTTTTACTTTGCTTTCAAGCAGATTTTTAAATGAGAATACCAATTCACTCATTCTATGCGCCGCACACCTGGATATCTGAGTCCATGTATAACACTTTATAATGATGATATGTTTTATATGATGTTCATCGTCAACATATATAAGGCACTGAAGGAACGAAAGATTACATTTTGGATTCTCAATACAATTTCGTTTTTAATTTTTTAAACGTTTTTTCATTTTACTTTGTCATTTTTCGTCTATCACTTTTGTTCTTTTAATTTATTTTGTAATAGCTTCTGGCTACACAAACGATTTAAAGCTCACGAATAAAAATAATAAATTAGATATCCACGCAATTCTCGATAGAATTCACTTTAGTAAAGAGGTATTGACTGATGAAATTCGTCAACAATCATAAACACTTGCGAAGAAATGACAGCGAAAATGACGACGAAAGAATACTCAAAATGAGTTCGTTAGTAAATACGAGCAAGATGCTAGACTTTTATAAAAGAAGTGCATAAAAAAATTACGAAATGGTGTATAAATTATTTAATGGTACATTATTAAATGGTGTGTAAAATACCAAAAAAAAAGTAAATTTGGGAAAAAAATCGCTTTGAAAATCTGACATTAAAATTAATTTTGATCATGCGTTAAATTGTTTAAATTAACGTTAGTGATAAATACTAGGCCAACAAATATTACTTTAACTTATTTCTAACTGAAAATTTCTAATAACACATTCAATGTGCCGCCGCTAACTAATGTAACAAATTTTAATGCACTTATTCGAGGGTTAAATGATCTCATATTTGTTCATAATCAAAACAAGAAGAAAACCTTTTTTTTTTTTTTTTTTTTTTTTTTTTTTTTACAAAGTTTAATGTTAAACTTAAATGCAATTTTTAAACATCGATAAATTGCATTTTCGTTCTTTATTTCGACGAGGTAGAACTGTTTTTGCCAAAATAACACAGATGAATATGTTTGGCAGTAAATCTAGAGATTCATAACTATTTCTTTGTAAAAGTTGAAAATGTAATTATTTTATTAGCTATTTTACCATCCTGATAGTAAATTTTAAGATTTACTTACATTCAGAATAATATACAAAGTAAAAAAGAAACTGTGAAAGGGGCATATTCTGAAAACATTCCTTGACATCATGGAAAAACAAACTGAATAATAAATTCGCTATACATTAGTTAGAATTAAATTCTTAAATACAAATGTCTCTAAGACTCTTTATATAATTACTTTTTTTTTAGTAAAAGTAACACTGGTTTATTTTGTGTAATTCTGTTTAATAAATACACTAGCGCTTCTGAAGACTTTCTATGAAATATTATATGAATAAAATTTAATTAATGCAAATGATGAGATTTCTGTACGAAGCTAATGAGCCTTTTAGCATGGAAAACTCTAGTCAACTTTTGATTAACTGTTAAAAAAAAAATCTGAAAGGTCTCAGATTTTAACTATCTCCCAGAATAGTTTGTTAATGCTTTTCTATACTCTCGCTGAGCTCGCAGGCTACCAGTCTGCTCTTGCACATAATTTTTTTCCCGCTCTTATGCCATCCACATTTCAAAAGCAAAATCACAAAAAAATTTTAAAAGCAGCATGTGTTTAGAATTCCTGATGAAATATTATATATTGGCATACATTTTAATATTTTTTCAGTCCTTTATCAGTTTACCGTATCAATGTACAATTTTAGTAAGATGGTTTGCGAAACTTTTTTTTTTTTTTTTGTCTTTTCCTTATTAACTTTTTTGTGTTAAAATTATTAATTAATATCATGTTCTTCCCACTTACGCCCCATGAAATTCAGCTGAATAGCGAAATCCCAAAATATTTAAAAACAGCTTTAGAAACTAACTTATATAAAGTTTCGGGCGCTGGAGATAACAGTGTTTTAATCCGTATAGCGTTGCCACTGCTCGCTTTCAAATCGTTGAGTTTATTAAAAGTTCACTAAAGTTTTATAAAATATGAAATATAAAATTCGACATTTAAAATTTGGGCTTCAAGGTGCACATGTTCGGGTGGCGAACTACGCTATTCAAAATTTCACGGCCCTAGGTACCGTCTTTCTCGCAATGCGATAAACATACATTAAAAATATATATATATATATGACAGCTTTCAGTTTTATATTAAGGACAAAGGGGGAGTTTTTTTCATCTACATACATACATGTTTCGAGAGCATTTGGGCTAAAAATATTTAAACAGCATATTTTTAGAATTTCCAATAGACAGTCTCGCGCTCTGGAAGAAAAAAAAAATTTTTTTATTCCGCAGATACGTTGCGACTGCTCGCTATGGAATCGTTGAGTTTTTTTGATAAAAAATTCGTTAAAGTTTTACAAAATATGAAATGTACAATAAAACAAAGTCCAGATTTCAAATTCGGGCTTATAGTTGTCCATAATAGGGTGGGGACTACCTATTGAAAATCTGATGGCTGTAGGTACCGTTGTTTTTTCACCATTGCGAAAAACATGCATACATTCATGCAGAATCTTCATTATTTAATATCTTTAAACATAATACAGGGAGTTAATGTCTGGTGGCAACAATTTAAAAAGAGATATGCAATTAGTGAACCCACGCAAAATGACGTTTCGAGAGTAATAGCCCATCTGGGTTAATGCTCTTTTGGGCTATTAATTAACTGCATAATTCAATTGACAATTCATTTTATAAACCTTGGAAATGGTTATGTAAATTTTATTTATTTTAATTTATTTGTTTATTTATTTTACATTTGGTTATGTAAATTAAATCCGCATCCGAAACAAAAAGCACAGTGTTTTTGTTCACATTATTCACGTATTTCTGATGGAGGTAATGTAAAACAGAAGATTAATTAGCTGTATAATTGACTTGTTTTTACGACTGAGCAAGTTATTTTCAATAGATGATTAATGATGATTTTATAATACCGATTATGTACAATTAAATTACATATTGTGCGGATAAAAACAACTCCCAAGCACTATGATATCATCTGCTTCTATTACTGTTGTCCCTCGCACATTTCTTTTCCTCAGACAGTTTTATTTTACGATGATGGTTTGCGATAGTAACTTTTCCATCCGCAATAATAAACATAATGTTTTTATTTTAATTTTTGACTAGTCCAGGTTTAATGCACTACTTGGTTAATCAATTCCAATTAATCGCGAGGTGATTGAACTGTAATTAAATTTTAAAATTTAATTTAAAGTAAGATTATTTAAACATATTTTTTTTTAACGTAAAAAATAGAAATAAATGATTGATGTGGAAGAAACTTCCCGCAAGCCTGTAACGGAAAGGTTCTGCAGATCCACAAGTAATACTTTTTGAGAAATATATTTAAGTACATGTAAATTAGCAGAACTTTCTTTTTAAATTAATTTGTACTCAATATTTCCACTAAAAATCCCTGATTTAGGGAGATGGAAAAAAAAAAAAAAAAAAAAAAAAAAAAAAAAGTTTTATGAAAAATATTTTTTAAGGTAAACAAAGAAGTCATCGGGTAAAAGGTGATGCTCTCCTTTTCTCATAAATCTATCTATCTATATATATATTTAATATACGCTAAACTTTTATATAAGACTGCAATTCTTAGAATTCTAAAATGAAAATAATTGTCTTATATTCGAATAAAATACAGAAATTACAATGACAAAATAAATCAAAAAAAATTTTTATAAATAAATAAAAGCACCTACCTTTTTCCTTTGTGAAATCTTTCGACCTTCAGAAAAAATTAAAAAAGTGATGCAAAATATCATTAAAATAATCACACGGATTTCCATGATCGCCCAGTGTGCTCCTAAAATAGTGACTATTACATAATTTTATGTCTAACAAGAGTTAGAAAACAAATGTGAAACTCGCGAAAGAGAAATTTTGTAAATGCCGCGCGAACTGCATTCAGCGCTATTTACGGATCCATCTAGGCAATTGGATAGGTTTGCTGTTCGCGTTTACCGAGTTGGCGACTATTTGTAGCAACAAGTTCGCCAATATTCGCTTTCAGCCTCAAGTAAAGTTAAGTTACGTATCGCGATGGCGGCAAACAAAAAATAAGCGCAACACCTTTAATATAATACATCCGTATGGGGGGGGGCTGTTTTGCACCGGCTTTGGGAGGGGGGAAGCAGGGAGAGAGGCGCAGAATTATGATCGAAACACTTAAGATTCTAAGATTGTAGTTTAACACGTCATAAAAGAGTTTTTCATTAAAACACTTTTTTTTTTATTATATTTTAAAACTAAAAACAAATTGCAATTCGACTTTTTTTCGGATTTCGAAACAACTGAAAGTATTTTAAGCTAAACAGTTATGCTTGACCTACTAGTTTAAAAATTAATCCTCAGAAATTTCGAAATAGTAATGCCGGACGAGGAAATAATATTAATATTATCACTCTCATAAATTAAAGCCGCTCACCAGCGGTCGAGCGGCAAAGTCGCTGAACAACACTTGTAGTTCGGCCCTTGTTCGATACCCGGCAAACGGGCTGACTGCAAAGGGATTTTCACCAGGTTCATGCCAGTTTACTTTAGAAAGTAATCCACGAAGGCATCCCTCCCCTTAGGCAGATAGCCCTCGAGTGTTTTGCCATAATTAAAATAAACCAAGCCACACATTAAAACTCCAAATGGAGATTTTTGCATATATAATAATAATAATAATAATAATAATAAAAGCAATTTAAATATTTAAGACGTAGCTTCTTTTCACTGCATCTCTTGGCTTAGGATAAAAATTTCTCTCAGATGAAGTGACAGCAATTTCTATTTAACCAGAACGCGAAACTCACTTTGTGAAAACAATTACACCGCTTCTGTTTTAAGTTTAAAAGTCCTTTAAAAATCACATACCGTCCTTTTATCTCGCATTCTCGTTGGATAGCAACATTCGTTTAGTAAAGACTCAAGTAAAAAAAACACACAATACATTTACTGGTATAGCCGGTCGCCACTACCGTATGCAAAGCATAATCAAAGGTATATTTAAAGGCAATAACTGACCTACTTCATGTGAGATCAGATTAAAGTGAAGTATTACCTAAATTTAAAACAAAAACAACAACAACAACAAAAAAAAAAAAAAAAAAAAAAAAAAAAAAAAAAAAGCTGATTGATGGAAGAGGGATTGGCATAGCATATAAAGTGATCCTTAAATATTTTTAAATATGTGCAAAAATTCAACAAAATGGCGAAAACGTTCTTTTAGCTGGGATGTGAAGCTGGGATGTGGAAACCACACGATTTCCTTGTACAGCCTATTAAATTATACACATTTTTTGCTGCACTTCATTTAAGCTCCCTTCCTCAAATTTTTCTAACCTAATTAATTGATCTATGATGGCAATTTGAAAAATGACATAAAAATTTTTCCATTTTGAAATTAAATATTTCTGTCAAATTATGTAGTACGGTAATCAAGCTTCTTCTAATTCTGTTTCTTCATAGCGAGCATAAAACTTTCCAAATACAAGTATAGGAGGCGGGGAGACCATATTTAAAGATAAATTTCGTTATTTGTCGAAAACTAATTTTTTTAAAAAAAATTTGACTTTGCCAAAGCATGACTACTTTCGTCATTAAAACACTTCTGTAGCGGGAAGATAAGACTACGCCCAACGATTACGAAAATAAGAGGGTATATATACACTGGCGGACAAAATTAAGAGATGGAACACTTTTTCCTAAATATCTACACAAATACTAGATAGAGATAAATGAAACTAGGTATGTATGACAATTATGTGTACAAAACAACAATGAAAAATGCCATTCATTAGCATGAGTTATGGCTAAGAGTCCAATGTTGTCCAAACTTGAGGTTGAAGGATGGCACTGAAAATGTGGCTACTAACATGTTAGGTGTTAGGTCGCCTCTGACAGACGGACAGTATGCACAAAGAGTAGCCATGCTGTTAACATGAGAGTTCAGGAGTGCATGCGGAAGTCGGACCCACTTCTCCACCAAAGCAGTTTCTAACTCCTGAATGGTTCTGGGTGGGTGTTGGTGTATTGCAATAGTCCTTTCAGGAGCATCCGAAGTATTTTCCATAGAATTAAGATCAGGAGATCTGTCTGGCCAATCCATTCGGTGAATATCCTAGTGAATGCAAGGAAGTTTGTCACATCAACATCTGTCAAGTTGCAAGCGTAAATCTGATGATCAGCGCCTTAATTCAAAACACATAGTGCATGATTTTAAAAAATATGTTTCACCACCTCAGAGTACTTCATTTCAGAAATTATTTCAGAGACACCATTTCAGAAATATAAAATAGATCATCAGGCAGCTAAAATTTTTTATGCTACAGATACATCATTCGTGAAACCCTTAATTAAAAAAAAATTAACGGAGATGCTGCGTCTAAAAATGACTTTTATGGTAAATTATTTATCAACATATATGAAGAACCTGTACAGAAATGCAGCAATGTTTTAGTTAATCAAACAGTACGCATGATGTTAGACGGTTGGTTTAATACTGCAATCAACCAATAATTTGGGTATGTGTTTGTACAATAAATAGAACGGGCAATTACTAATACGTCATTAATACCACATACAAGAGAAGATTTGCTTAACCTTGCTGTTGATGCCATCAGGAAAAGTTGGATATAAATTTAAATGAAAAATAAGTAGTTTTAAAATGATAATGCAGCAAATAGAGTTTATTGATTAAGGCAAAGCACACGAGGGATACATGCCGAAAGGGAGGGACGCCTTCGTGGAGAACCTTCTAAGGGAACTGATTCGTTATAAGGTTTTGTTTATCCTGATTATGGCAAAGCATATGAGAGCTGTTTGCTGAAGATGAGTGAATGGCTCCATGCAGAACTCTCCACGGTAAACTGGTTTTTATCGCCGTTATACATGGCGAAAGCACTCATGCAGCCAGGCCTGATCGAAATACAAGTGTTTAGCGACTTTAGCGCTACACGTAATGAAAACCACGAAAGCGCCTCTGCAAAAAGACCTTTCGCCGAATTTTCAACTCTGGCTGAACTACCAATGTTCAGCAATCTTAACCACTTGGCCACTGATAGATTCGGATGGCAAAAATGAAATAAGAATTTAAAAAACTGATATTATATCTAACTGTTGTTGGGCACATATACATAATTTAATGGCCATACATTGAAATAGTATATAAATATTACTGAGCACATTATTCAAGTAATGATTTTTTAGATCATCTGTTTGTCCGAATAATATTTAACGAAGTAGCTTAATTATACCCTTCTGAAGTATGTTGGAACTTCGGGTGCGACTTCTTTGACCCGTTTAGTTTTCACGTCAACTGTGGAAGAGGACTGAGATACAACAGACAACAATATTCAATGAAAATTTTTAATATGGAAGTCAAACGAAATGCAGAAAACCTCTTATTTAGTATAAAGCCAATTTCAGTCGCTTTGCGTAAAATCTTGAAGAAAACTGAAGCTGTTAAAGTACGGAAAGATCTTGAACACAGCTTAAAATATCTTCATAAACTTCGCATAAAGTTATTTATAATTTATCATTAAAATATAATCTTGAAACCTTATTAACCGCTAAAAAGGCAAAGGCATTTAAATTAATGAAACGAAACATACAAACATAGAAATTGAATTTTTTTTTTATTCCTGTTTCATCTTTCTGCTGAATCCTTTTTTAAAAATGAGGCAGGGACCACGCTTAACTAATAGAAGATAATATATAGCTCGTAATACAAAACGCATAGGAGGAAAAGAAGTGGATATAATTGAAATTTAATCACTGAAGAATTCCATCAGCAAAGCTTGAGAGAATGTTTTATACTTTTGATTTATATTTACTTTATCATATTTGTATTTACATAAAAGACAATTACAAGTATTTATTTTTATTTTTATTTATTTTGTACGTACATATATATGTATGTAAGTTTATGTTTGTCTTTCCGAGTTATTAAAGCCGAAAAACTGCCAAAATATTTCACTGTGTTTTTTAGTACTAAATTCTAAAATTATGTGCAATTTATATTATTTCAAAGTATTAATTATTACTTTATTTTATGCTTAAAATATGTATTACACTTCTTAGTATCATATGATTACAGGTTTAATGACTTTGAAACCATCTACGTGGGATAATCCTTTAATAAGTTAATATAGAAACAGAAAACAAAACTATCTAACTAAAAAAACTAAAAAAAAGTCCTATTTTATTTTACATGATTTTTTCACAGGTAGTTGAGTAAGGGTATTGTGTAGAGATATGTAATTAAAGATATTTAGGACTCTATAAACCCAAGTACACTGTTATTGTTAAAAATAGCATTCTTCAATTAATTTTAAAATCATGCTCATAATTAATTTCTGTACGAGTAAAACTTGCACTAATTTAAGAAAAACACAACCTCAGTTCCACTTTTGAGTTATTAGTATTAAACCCATATTTGTTTCAAGGCATTACTTTGATATCAGTGAAATTTCAAATAATAATTTGTATTTGCCTGATTTAGTTCCTCCGTAAACGCAAAAACAAAAATAATAGTTTGGAAACAAGTCTCCATAGCCGGCGGAGTCAATGTAACCAGTGCAGCCCCACCGAGCCGTCGCCATCGAGATAGATAAGGCCTGCGCGCTGAGTTATTACGTCACTTCTAAGGGACCGGTCTTCGCGCAGTTTAGCTTCCTTGCTAAACACCCGTTTTTCTAAACCAATTCTATGAAATTGGTATCTCATACTATAAAATCAGTCTAAAACAAAATTACAAGTGCCAATATAATGTTTTACAAAGCTTATACGAATATGAAATATTTTCATTTTCTTTTGTTGGTATTTATTTTCAAAACAAAATTATTTGAGAATGGTGTGGTGCTTTTAAAAGCAAATCATTTCTTTGAAGAAAATTGGTTTTAAAAAATT